CCCCCCCCCCCCCCCAAAACAAACAAACAAAAACAAAACAACAATCACTTGTTTCTCAATACTATATAACAGTACTGTCTGTGCAAAGCATATACAGACTTAGACTGATGTGTTTATGTGTGACTCAGTTATTTGACATATTTGACTGTTTGGCAGGGCTGGAATATTTTTCTCCGTGAAGGAATGTGCATGTAATTCCTTTCTTCACTGTGCTTGTGCTGTATATTTACTTCTCCTCATTTGGTTGATAGAATGTGTCAAAGCAGATTACATGAATAAGTGAAGTGAAAGTTTCCAAACTGATTGGACGAGGACCTGGTAAAAGATACTGAAACAAGAAATACTTGTGTCACATTAGTAAACAATAATAAAAATGTTAAAAATAAGCTAATCGGTTTCTATTTGAGAAATTTCAGTGTTTTAATAGTTTAAAAACTATATTTGGATGCTAAATTTAAAAGTAGTTTTTAAGTGCAAACATAAGTGCATAAAAAAGTAATCACAAATGCAGTAATGGCATATAAAACAATGTTTAAATAGAACCTAAAACGAGGCTTTGCGCTGTCTTCTTTGAAGGCTTTCCTACATTAGCAGGAAGCTTTGGTGTGTTTATGTGCATATTGAAGTGTGTAAACCTTTAAAGGTACATATGAGCATTCTCTGAGCTTTAATTTGATGCGAAATTTCCTGCTGCAGAAATGCACGTTCTGATGGTGTAGATGTTAATAATTAATGTTAATAATAAATCAGTGTCCAACCTAACTGCCTCAGGTAAGTGGCTCAGAGTTTTACTGGCCTGCAATAAAATATTATAATTTAATTATCATAATAATTTATTTATATATTCCTTTAATCTAAATCTGATAAATAATGTTACTAAAGCTTTGAGCTAAATAGGGTCTAGTACACCCCATGTCCCACTTTTAGACTCACCCCTGCTTGCTGCAGGTATCACTGCAATAGAAAGTGGGACGGCTGCTGTCAGCTTTTAGCAAGCTGCGTGATTTAAACACGATATTTGACTAAGTTACCAGTTCATCTGCCCACATGCGCTTCTATTTTAAACTTCTGCGGCTTTTTGTACATTTTTCAGTGTAAAACCAACAGCGGTTGATGGGAGCAGCTACAATGTTTGTTTTTCCTTGACACTGGAGCTTGCTGAACAGGTGGTTTGATTTGATTAAGGACGCTCACTAGCTTTTTCCCAGTAAACTTTTTTTATGGTGATTACAGTGACAAGCGCTGCTGTTTTGAACACTAGAAGAAATGTTTATTCACTCCACCTGAGCTCACAGTCGTGAAAACAGCTCGGCCTCTTTGCTTTTTGCTGTGTGTAGACGTAAACTAGCCATGCTAAAATACTTGCATAGTGACAGCTGAGTGCTGCAGAGTCATGGGTTAATGAAGCATCAAAGCAAAAATATTTGCGTTGTGGTTTTTTTCATTAGTTATTCAATTTACTCAATGAATCTTTGCAGCCCTAGTAAAAGCTTGATTCATTGATGGATAAAAGGGTCAGTTACTCACTGAGCAACAAGAGAAAGTACAAAAGATCTTAACTGATGTGTTAAGCAGATTATTTAAAGCGTAACAAAGTCAATATTGTATATTTATTCTATGTCTAGCATGTCTATTCTATGCTATTGTTGGTGTATTGTCAATAGAAAGCACCATATGTAGAACATAAGTCTTTAATGTTTATGCCTCCATCACGTCATCACTTAAAGACCGGATTAAACAGTCATGTTTGTAATAGCAGGTTTTAAATTCAGCTCCTTAACAGATACAAGAATTTGTGCTGAATTATTTTTGTCACACTGGACGTTCGTATCACATCAACTTACAATGAAGCGAAGCTTAAACTTGAAGCCTCCCAGCTGATTAGAGCAAACACTTATGGCTCTGGCCCAATTAAACAAAATATAAAAATAAAAGTACAATTTTTAAATGACCTAAACAAGATGTCATTGCAAGAGTTGTTGCACAGGCTGTACATTGCAACACACTGAGTGTGCACGTGTGCTTCGGGGACACTAGAAGAGTGTAAAAGGAATGTTTGTGTCCACAATCAAGCATAATACCTGCCTTGCACAAATAGGACTGTAGCTGAATTGTGTATGTGATGCTGTGACTAGCTACAAATGAGAAAACTGGCATCGGTGTACATGTTTAATGTAAAGTTGTAAACTTGTGCATACTCCCCTTTTTTATTAAATCGCTTTTTCTTGTGTTGCTTATACAAACACACTCTTGAACACACTTTCTCACACACACAGCCTGCTGTCTACTTTGATCTATCCTGCAGCGAGGCATTCCTGTGCTGCAGCGAGTAGGAGCAGCAGACAGATTGAGGGGGAGCATTGTGTATGAATCGAGTGTATTGTCCTATGAAGATGGTAAGGTAGAGAGCCTAAGAGACCTGAACCCCAAGGGACCCTCTCCCCAGGGGCCTCTACAGGGTGCCAATAAAGCTGTAAGAACAGGAGGCCTGTGCATGGGCCTTTTTTATAAAAGGAAAATTGATATTGTGTTGAAAGCATACCTGTCTTTGCTCCTTGTGAGCTATTTTCTCAATGTTCTTGCCAGTGATTCCTCCCCTTTTGGCTGCCTTTCTCTAGTATTTTTGGCCCACTCTGCTTGCACCCCCCCCCCCCCTTTGTTTTTGTCTGGTGGTCCACCTATTTTTTTCTTTCATCCCTTTCCTTGTCTGTTCTCCTTGTCAGAACATGTTTAACCACCTGTAAGTTATCTACTGTAATCGATCATCATCTGTTACTGGGTGCCGTGTTATGGCTCGTGGTCTTTGCCAACCATTTTGTCATTTTGTTTTTCAACATGAAACCTTCTTTGTCTCATGTATCCTTTTTCTGTCATCATCTTCATTAAACCCTTCCATCAGCTGTCTTTTCTTTAAGAATAATACAAAAAAGTAAAGAAACCCCAAGCATTTTTTTTTTTTCTTCTCCTGCCTCAAATTTATACTCGGGAGGTGTTTCTATAGCAGTCTGTGATTCGATGCACTAAAGGCAATGACACAAAGATAGCAAAGTTCAAGCGTATACCAGTCTAGGCAACAAGCCTCTTCTGGTTTTGTCCCCACCTCAAAATCTAACCTAGCCAGTTGTCTGTTTCCTCATACGCTTACTAGTCTCTTGCTACCTCGTCCTTTCCTGTGGCATTTCTGAAGAAATGTATATTATAAAACTATTGTCCATTTCCCTTATCTGCCCTTACGTATTTGGTCTTTAAGGTCTTTTAGATCACTGATTTGGGGAAAGTCAGAGGAGAAACCCTCTCTGCTACCACTGTTTATCCAGTCCCGTCACCTGTTCACCTGTTTCACCTGCTTCTACTCTACTCTTACCATGCACTTGCTTTTATGCAGTTTGTCACCCAGCCAGCCGCTACACAAACACACACACTCTACACATCCCAAACAGAGAAGCCAACCAGTGCTGAGGCTGGTGATGTTAACCTTTTGACCTTTTGTTCACTTCATGGTGCTTTGCACAGCTGCTGGTTGACCTGACCCCCACACACATAAGGCACTTTAACAGCTTTCCTAACCTTAGATTACAGTCTGATCAAGACCTCAGCCAGAGTGTTTTGAGGCGGATGTGAATATGTCTTTTTACCCGTTTCCTTGGTGGTTACACTGAAATTGACTGAGAACGCAATGGATTAGTTATTTTAGAGTTCATAGAAACGGCACATTAGAAAGAAGCCTAAGTAAAACTGAAATCAATTCTCAAGAGAAGTCCAAGGCTTTGTGCGAGCTACTCTGATCCATTACAGGAGCCAGCCATCGCCCTGGCACATCAAAGCAGCTGACCCTCTGCCTGTCACACAATGAGGCCTTATTAGAGAGCCATGTTGGAGAGAATAAAGGAGGCGCAGGAAGGGAGGGAGTCAAGTGGGAAGAGAATGTGAAATATTTGTACAGTTGGATTCAGGGGAACATTATAAATGGACAAGGGTGTGCGCACATGTGCAAAAAGGTTTGTTGGCTTTACTTGTTACACCGTGCACCTGTTGACATTTGGTACGCACGTTTAAAATACCCCTCATTTTGTTCTGGTAATTTTCTGATGTTCCAGCCACATTGATCGGGATGCTTTTAAGTCAAAAAGCCTCAGGCTGTAATTACCATTTACCACATCAGTGTAAGTTGATTTGTGCCGAGATCAAGTCGCTCCCTGGAAAACCAGGTGGAAATGGACATCAAGTTGTAACAATGTTCGCTGCTTCTTTTAAAAGGCTGACCTGTACCTGACGTCACTTTTGATCCACCTGTTCATGTTCTTGACAATCAATTCTTCTCTTTTTTTTTTCTTTTCCTGCACAGATGAGCACGACGCAGTGCAGAAGAAAACGTTCACCAAATGGATAAATGCACAATTCTCCAAGGTAATGTGAAACATTAGAGCCAAACATTTTCAAATGGATGTCAAGCACTCTCCTTTTTTCCTCATAGTACAAAAAAATCTTCATCTGCCTAATAATGTTGTAAAATGTTAAATCTGCAGTTAGTGAGTCAGCAGGGCATTTGCGTCTTTTGCGTACTATGTGACTAAGCACTCAGCAATCCCACTCTGTAAATTTACGTTGTCCGTGTTGCTGTGTGGTTCCTAAACACTTCCTCTTTGCAATAATACCACTTCCAGTTGATTGTGGAATATCTGGGAGAGAAAAATCTCACACTCAAATGCAGTGAGCTCTTTAAATGACCATTCTTGCACAAAAGTTTTTAAAGATAGACTGGATGTCTAGGTGCTTGATTTTATACACCAATGAGACTGAAGATTAACAGGTGTGGCCCAGTATTTTTTTTTCCATACAGTGCAGCTGCACAAACTGATGGATGACATCTTTCTTGTGCTAAAGAGACATGAGGGGTACTTCCCACAGTCTGACCTGCATAGACCTGCTCCAGAGTTAGTCTTCTAAACAACTGTTAACTGAATAATTAACTTGAACTTGAGCTGCAGCGATTTATCAGCGAAGTGGGTGTTTAACCTTTTCATTACCAAGCTGCATCATTAGACTAAAGCTCAGGGGGCACAGTGACCTCAAGACCCATCCATGATACCAGCGCTGCCATACTATTGTTTCTATTATTTCTTAAGCTAAAAACTAAATAATAAATTAAAAAAGGTTAATGTTAATGTCTTTTAGTTTATGTCAGAGCGTTAATAGTCTGTGTGTGGTCCTTGTATATATTTTTTATTCTTATAAAACAACAATCAGAGAATGATATTAAATATTTTTGGCTGATTTTTTTTTTTTTTCTAGTTGGTCTACCTGAGCTAATTACTGTCCTCACACTGTTTTCTCCTAAATACTTTGAGTTTCATTCTTACACTTGTTTCATTTGGATAGTTTCAGATTTGTTGACTGTCTGTGCCTTTTAACACTGGTTGTTACAATGTGCCAAACTTTCTCTTCTTCTTTCTGCATACCACTGTGACATGTGAGCTTATTCTCAGTGACGCTTGAAGTGTTTGAATTAAATGTAAATGCCTGTCTCTCCAAAGCTACAGCCACACTCAGGGCCTCTTATCACTGGTATTGACTGTTCTAATCCAGTCTTATGATAAATCTAATGCAGAAATTGTGATGTTTCCAGACAGGGAAGACGCCCATCAAAGACATGTTCACCGATTTGAGAGACGGGAGGAAGCTGCTGGACCTTCTGGAGGGTCTCACTGGCAGTGTCCTGGTGGGTTTTTGTATATGTGCATTAACATTCGTGAGACTTTTTAAAAAAATTTTTTTATTCAAATTTGACATTTTAAAAAAGTTTGCTGTTTGAATGCATGAAGTTCGAGATTTGATTTCAAGGAGGTGCGTTCAAGCTGCAGAAATGCTCATGAAAGGTTTGGCAGTGCATGCAGTCAAATTATAGTAGTGCAGTGTTTTGTTTTGTTTCTTTTCCCCCCCTTTCCTCCTCCTCTTAAGTGAAAGTCATGCCAGTACAAGCACATGCACGATGTGATGTAAACACACAGGTTAAATCTAATGTAAACATCTGAGCCACTCTGGAGTGCCGTGCTTGGCTTTTGCTTCCTAAATTAAAACACGTATTTTACGCTTATGTTATTTCTTATTTAATTTTGGTAAATACATGTTATGTTATTTGAATTTCTGCAGCTTTCAGCAAACTATCACTTTACTCACCTAAAACTTTATTCAAAAAGAGGTTGGCATAATGGATAAAGAAGTACTATGGAAAAGGAGACTAAAGATATGCATGTCCTCTATGACTGGCTTTGTGCTTGTATATGCAATTTTTATTTTACTGTTTTCTTTTCTTTCTTTCTTCTTTTTTTCTGTACCACCCTTCAGCAGCATATCATATTTCTAACACCTGCAGCCGTATATTGAGTGCCAACTGTCTTTGTGCCATATATGTTGGCACACATGTGCACAAAGGCTTTTTTCACTGATACCAGAATACTAATTCTATAATTGGGTGCTAATGAGTGGTTGACGTATGTGAAGACTTAAAAGGGATTAGCAGTTGGCAGCCATTCATCGAGCCATTCTTTCCATAAGTTCTTGTGGACGCTGCTGAGAGCGTAATAGCTGTGATAATGTATGGTGTGAAACGCTGTGTGGAGTGATGGCATACCTTATCTACATTTAACCCCCAAGCTTTGGCTTGAAGTTGGGGAACAAGTCGTCAAGGTGACTTGTTCGCAAATGAGAATATATTTATTTATTTATTAACCCGCAGAAACTCATTTGAATAAATGAGTTACAGGAAACGAGAGCCAAAACTGTTGACTTGCATGATTTTTAGCCTTGATTGGCTGGTGAACCGTGAACGTGTCAGCTGATTTATGCTGCATTTCCTCTTCCTCAGAGCAAAGAGCGAGGTTCCACCAGAGTGCACTCTCTGAACAACGTCAACAAAGTACTTCAAGTCCTACATCAAAACAATGTGAGTACTTCCTGTTTGGTGGCAAAGCTGTTGTGCGTTTGTCATTTTCTACCACGTGCCGTTAAAGATGAGTCTGTTTCATTTCAGCCTCATAAGATAATCAGAAATAAGGAACTATATTAAACTGTGAAATGATGTCATGTTGTATTTTGTTGAAGTAAAAACTCCCAAACCCTATGTCCACACTGCACATTTACAGTCATGGTTGCACTGTTTTTGATTCAAACCAGTAACTCTTCCTCTAATTATACAAAACTCCTTAATCTCCTGTGGCCTCTGAATTCATTTCATACACAAGTCATTTTCTTGTGTATTTTTCTTTGTCCTTCTGCCTCCTTCGCTGCTTCATTTCATCATCCCTCCTCCTACTTTCTGTGTACAACAGTTGGTCATAATGCCTTGACCTCAGCAGTGGGAGATAAGGGGCAGGGCAGACTCATGGGAAGCAGCAGAGACTGAAGTTTGCATGCAAATCCTGCTGCTTTCACTCTTGCAAGAGGCAAAATAAGTGTCAACTGGCCAAAGTTTCCACAAGCCTGAACAGTGGAAACATATTTGAAAACAATTAAAAATTTTCTCATGGAAGACACAACTCTGCAATTGGATTTAGTCAGTTCATGTTATTATTATTATTATTTTTCGGATGGAGGGTACTTCAGGAGACAATACTGCGAGTTTTGGAGTGGGTGATGACTGTATTTGTGCGTGTCTGCTCTGATGCATATGTGAGGCTTTGTTTCATGAGAGATGTGGAGAAGTAATGGTGTGGCAGCATGGGGCTAATTGGTACTAGATGGGTCAGAGGCCAGCTCTGCATAGAACAAGAAAGGACACTTCATAACTTGACCAGACACATGACCTCATGTTCCACCCTGTGCCTTGATCCTCTCCACAATATTTATATATAATCAGTTCACACTTGGCCTTAGTTCATATGATACATGTCTGATGAACCTGCAGACCTCACTTCACCACTGGGAGGCTGTAATTAGGGTGGCATAATCTGCTTTGTGGAGACAGTTGACTGGGTGGAAGTGTTCAGCTTTAACACTGATGGCTCATTAAGATGTAAAGTAATATAAGAAAACTCGAATCCCATTTCAAAGGAGAGCTCCTCTGGTTTTACTCAGCAAGTGTGTTTACAGGTTCTGCCGAGTGTTACTGAGCATAACGACTCGCAGCAAGCTTTTTATGGTCCCACAGATATCTTTGGGAAAGCTGATAAATTTCTTCAAGTCACTCAGTAGAAGTATTAATACCATTTCAGAGCAATAGCTTCAATTTTTAGGATAAATATGTTCCCCATAAGAACACATTTCCATATATTTGAACGTTAATAACCTGCAAGCTCAGAAAGTAGAAATCACAAATGTTTATTTGGTTGCTTGTGATATTTTTAACAACTTGGTCTGTCCTCCTTTCAGGTGGATCTGGTAAACATAGGAGGGACAGATATTGTGGATGGGAACCACAAGCTGACCTTGGGCCTCATCTGGAGTATTATCCTTCATTGGCAGGTGAGCAGGGTGCACACACACACATACACACTTCTGTTTGCTAACCCTGGGATCAAAAAAACAGATGATGGAAAATCTGTATTGATGTTCACACATGCGTGTATGCATGTAAACATGTATATCATCCAGTGCTTTGTGTGCTCAACCTGCTGGCGTAAAACGGCTCAAGAGGTTCTTTCATAAGGTTTGAACCTTACCTTTTTTTTTTCAACATTTGTTTTTCATTATTTTCATTATTGTTAGTTAATGTAACAGATGCCACGTGCATTTTTTTTTGTCTTTGTTTGGGTGTTAGACATGGTGTCGGTTTTATTAACTGCATTATATTTTATAACTACAGGAATCCTTATCCTTTTAGGATAAAAAAAAAAGGCTTATTTAATGTGCATAGAGTTATTGAGAAAGAGGTTTTCATTGCTGATGCTCCTATTCAATGTGCCCACCTGCTAATAAGAGAATCAATACAATGATTCTGCTGACTTTCAATACAAGGAGAAGTGATCTATTCAGCCAGAATATAGAAACTACTGTTTTGAATCAAAATGTGGGCGTACAGGTTTTTGCTCTTCATTAATCATCCACATTAAAACTCCTCTTTCAATGTACATGTCTCTCTTTAGGTGAAAGACGTCATGAAGGATGTTATGTCCAACCTACAGCAGACCAACAGTGAAAAGCTCTTACTGAGTTGGGTACGACAGTGCACCCGCTCTTACCCGCAAATCAATGTGTTGAATTTCACCACCAGCTGGGTGGATGGCCTAGCTCTAAACGGCATACTTCACCACTTCAGGTGAGGAATAAGGGGACGCTCAGCAGGTACTTTAGCAATAAGTGTGGACATACTGCTATTACCTGACTGGTACAAACAAAGGAGCATTGGGAGCACATTAAGGAAAAAAAATATGTAGCTGTTCATTTCAAGAATAAAGTAAAAAGAAACACGCAGACTTGGAGGAGTCAGCACAGATACTGATGGTCACAGCCTTGTGCGGCAGAGAGGATGTATGTTGTATCACAAGACGCAATAAGATCGCTGATAAAGTTGTGTCTCATGTTGTAACTCAACTTCACAAAGCATTTTGTAAAGAGTATAGCAGCTGTGGCAGTTGCCTGACTTGAAATGACAACTTTAATCCCCAGATCTCAGCTTTATTCTCAAAACGAACATTATATACATATATAATACTCATCGTAGGTAAAAGCCTGCAAGTCCAGGTCATGCAATTGTGTTTTGTTATATTAAGTCAAAATTATATTGATGACCAATTTTTGTGTGATTGCATTGTTTTCCACACTTGCAAGCGTGCAGCAGCCTTCTGTTGTAGTATGTGTTGCTGTGAGGTGAATTTACTGTTGAAGTTAACGTAGTATGGCATGTACCCTTTAGATACAAAGTTGTGAAGAGATCAAGGACATTTAAAAAAAAAAAAAAGTTTAGGACCTTTTTTGTGCATGTATATGAGAGCGAGAGAGAGAGAGAGAGAGATGCTGTGAGGATACCCAAGCTGTACATGTGGGTGAAGATCAGGTTGATAGGTCAGCGCCTGCAGGGTGTGTTGATACTGCTTAGCATGTTCGTTTACACCTGCCATGTCACTGTTTGCATGTGTGTGCGTGTGTGTGTGCGTAAAAGAAAGAGGGAAAGAATTGTCTGGGGTGTTTCCCCCTTTCTTGTAACCCCTTGTTCTTACTAGTGACATGAACACACACACATACAGTCCAGTGTTGGTTTAGACCTTGGGCTAGGGTTTAAAGACATTCCACACACGGCTGGCCTCAATGCACAGATCAGGGAAGACCTTTGCCTATACACAGGGTTTGTAAATGTTTCAGATATCTATGAGCTAGTTTCTACATTAGGTGTATAGATAGAAAATCAATGTATTGTCAAAAAAAATAAATCAAATCTTTACCCCTGGCAAACAGGGAACGAGTTTTGAATTGTCTCAGGGTATGCAGCTACCCTTGGAAAACCCAGAAACGACTCTAATCGTCATAAAACCTCGTCTTTATTGATATGTACTGAGGTTTCAAAACTTATCATTACGGGTAAAGGGGAGGTCATCAAATGTTGTCTTTATGGGGGAAATGGTAAAAAAAACAATGTTGCACTCAGAGGAACGCATATTTTTCTGAACATGTGTGCGCTTTCAAAAGATGAAAACGTCAGCAGCACCTGGCTTCAGGTTTTGGATTTCGTCTGCATCATTCTACTTCAAGTGTTGCTCAAGTTCTGACCTCTTCTGACCTTTAAAGCAGATGAAGTTGTGCCACTAGGCTCTTCACTGCTTCTGCACGTTTGTAGTTTCTGATGTATAAAGTAGCCATGATATAAAACTGTGTCTTCTATTGGTGCGGTTCTGTGTGTGACTTCAGGCCAGACGCTTTTAGCTGGGATAAGGTGGTCACGATGAACCCTGTGCAGAGACTGGACCACGCCTTCACTTTCGCCAAAGACCAGCTGGGTATTGAGAAGCTGCTGGATCCTGAAGGTACTGTTGTTCTGAGCTATTCTGAGCACATTTGTGACTCAGGTAAATATTATAGGAATGTTTTTAGATGTAAGTCTAAGAATTGGCACCTGCATCTGCTTTTTATAGCACCTGGTTATGGATTGACATAAATTTTACTGGCCAAAATTCCCACATAGTAAAATACAGTCTGCATTCACAAACCTTCCCTTCATGTCCTGCCAGCAGTTGGATAAGCTCAGAGTGAAGAAGGATCTTGATGTTGCTTTGGCTGAACATCTGTAACAAGCTGGACCCTTACTTGCTTGAGCTGTCCAAGTCAGACGCCTGTTTTTATGTCATGACTGAGGAGCAGTCACTCCTGACCTGTACTGAAAGCATATTTAATTAGTACATCTTGTCTTAACTTGGCATTTTGTTTGTCTCTCTCACCGTCCTTCCCATCTAATCTCCTTCTGTCACCCTTAACGGCTATCGCGCCCTATCTGCCACGCTTCTGTTCTACTCATGCAATTTTCACCTCTGTATCCTCCCCTCTTTCTCTCTCCACTCTCTCCCTCCTGCCTGTCACGCACAGTTTGTATCTCTGATCTTTCCGCCTTAAATCCCTCTCCCTAACGCCGTCTTGCTCTCTTTATCATTCACAGACGTGGCAGTGCAAGTACCAGATAAGAAGTCCATCCTCATGTATATAACATCGCTTTTTGCCGTGCTGCCTAAAGACGTGAGCATGGAGGCCATCAAAGAAGTGGAGACCCTCCCACGCAAATATAAAGTGGAGTCAGAAGACTCAGGTCCAGGACTCGGTGCCCAGGTAAAATCTAGAGTAGAGCTGTCGTGACATGTAGGAACAGGAAGGTGCAAGACAAGCTATTAGGTTTAGGGCAGAGGTGTTGGACATGTCAGGTTTGACCTAAACATAAAAAGAAATTGAGAAAGTATTTTTCAGAACAAAACACACATAAGTTTCAAAGAATGTAAATTTGGAGTTTAGCAAAATCAAAACTCAAACTAGATTCAGTTTCAGAAACGGGCCCTGCATGCATTTCAGTCAAACAGCTTCAATTATGTAGCACCCGTTCACATCAGCGGTCCCTCAAGGCAATTAATATTATTAAGATGCTACAACTTTAGAGGGCGAAGCCCAGCAAATCAACAAATCTCTTTGAGCACTTGGCACAGTGGAGAGGGGAAAAAAAGAAGCCCTCTTTAAGAGCAAGAACTTTCTGAGCGGCTCAGAGATGGTGGATCTTTGTGTTTAAGTAAGCTAGGACCATTCACTGTTTCTTTGACCTCACGTCGGTCTACAGAGAAGGAATTTACCTCCTTGTTTTATCTTATGATCATAAAACAAGAATCCCTGAAGGTGCTTCAAAGTAGCTGGTTATTGCTATATTATCTCCAGACGTTGCCTGTCTGAACCTTGATGAACTATGATGATATAAACAACTGTTATCTTTTTTTCTTTTCTATGAATGCAGGAATGATAGTCCAGCTCCTTTTTTTTTAAAAAAACAACTGAAAATCTTGAGTTGCAAAAACTGAACAGCTCCAGCTTTTGCTTTGCTGCTGTGCTCCATTTCTGATCATCATGTTTAGTTTGAAGGCAGCAGATGTTGCTACGTGCAAGCATGAGGAATATTGTCATAAGGAATAGTGTCTTATTGTATGTTGCCAGATACAGTGAGTCACTCTGAAAAAGCAGCCTCCTTCATTCTCTCCGGCACCGCTCATGAAAGGCGCAGCAAGCGCAGAGAAATGGGGAGCAGAGCCATGACTCACCCCCTCTGACATTATCCAACAGGCCGAGCTGGATGGTGGAAGCGCAGAGCTGTAAAAGGATGGAAGGAAATAGGGGAGTAAATTGGTGAGAATGGGAGTGCAGATAGCTGAGAGAAAAGGAAAAGGTTGTTACAACATTAAAGTCGGGGTGCTGTGCAGTGCAGTGTCACCGTGAATTCAGTAGTTTTTTCTTCAGCATTTCACAAACTAGTGATTGGAATCTTTTTATAATTTGCTTTATCCTGTTAACTGTGATTTGACAACTCCAGGTACTTTATTATTATAATTATTATTATTAGTTTTTAATCTTTGTGTTTTGAAAAGGAGTTTGCTGACATTAATTAAAAGTTAAGTATGCATTTTCGTCTTGTTAGCTTTTCATCCCCTCCCAGCTTGCTGGATTGGTCAATCACATATAGCTCTGGGGCATCTCTTATTTAAGAGAGTTTTTTGTTTGTTTGTTTTTTGGTCAAAAGTCAGAAAACCCCCAAACCACCTCTTAGGTTGTTTTATTGCCCATGGGCACATACTTCACACGCCCCTGGAATGAGTCCTGGAACAGTCTTTTTTTAAATAGTGTTCTGATTGGTCCAACAAAGGGTTTACTTTCCTGGCTCGCTTCCTCTCTGCATAGGAACCAATGTGTAATACTGTTGCTGCTGGGAGACTGAGTGTAGTTAAAATAAAGGGCTCTTTGTATTTCATAACTTCAATATGGTTTCCCACTTTTCTTTTACATTCATAATTTTAATCGTATTTGTTATCAGAGTAGTTTTCGGTATTGATGATACTTTGAAACATACTGAGAGATCCTCCCACGATCGCCTTCCTTTTGTAATATTGATAATTAGAGAGCTGCTGGTGTGTGGTAGCGAATTACATGCTCTGCGGTTACAACTGTAAACGCGATGAATGCATAGACAGAGTTGAGCAAATCATGTAGTGATAATAAAGTGTTCTGTTGAGCCAGACCACAGCTATTTTACAGCCATTCAACTCAATAAATGCAGCAAGGCTGCAGTTTTCCCTTCTCTCTCACTCTCTCTCCTCTTTATTTCTCTCCCTGTCGCCCTTCTTTGCCAGCCCTCATTGATGTAACATAAGGGCTTACAGTTCTTTTGTCACTTATTCCAAAAATATCCAAAAGGTCATTGAATATTTTCAGCAGGTGACCTTTCCTGAGTTTGTTGCACAGGCATTACCACTGTATAATTTCAGCCTGGAAAACAAAAGTCTGTTTGATTTGTTACTGCACACCCATTACCATTTCTGCCATCTTTCACTTGGCTGTCATTGTGGAGATTTTATCTGGAGTTCAGCTTCATTCAGATTTGTTGAGCACCTTTGAGCCGTTTCTTTACAAAACTAGAAGCCTGGAATAGTTTTGTTTTTGCGTTGGTTTTTAAGGTTTTTGTTTTTTTTGAGTTTTGGTTTTTTTTTAGTGATGGTTCAGTTTGATAAAGGTTGGTAAAGTTGATGGAGACTGCTGCTTCTTCTTTTAAAGTGTAGACTTAATGTAATTTTCCCAGTCCTTCTGCACTGCACATCCAACTTTATCTTGGTTAATGCTGTTTCAGACTTACTGCTGTTCCCAAAATAAGATTTGACCTGCCCACTTCCCACCATCCCATAATTGGCTTGCAGTCTTTCTTTTTTTCCCCCTTTGCTGAACAGGGCAGGTCGCACTGCGTGCTCAAGAGCAGCACAACCCCCTTCTAGATGTCTGGGTCTATTTTAAAACTTGCCAGCTGATGTGTGCAGATGAGCACAGAAGACAAACCAAAGTCTTGCTTCGACTTGTTATGTTTCATAGGCGTCTTGGTCTTATGAATGTGGCACATTGGGAAATTAAAAAAACAAAAAAACCTTCCTTTTTATTTTTACTGTACACTTTGGCCTGTATACTTACAAAATATAAGCCAGTTCTTTCAATCAAGTGTTGTACTGCTTTCAGTAATATTTTCCTACTTATTAAGTAATGATCTTGTTTATAACTTGGTCAAACCTTGCCTAATGTTTCTTAGACTGTACAGACAGAGGAGGCAGGCAGCAGTCGTCGGCCCGAGACCCCCAGCACCATGACGGAGACAGAGGGTGAGATGAAGGGCGGCCTGCTGGAGGGGGACCTTGACACCTACCAGACTACGCTAGAGGAGGTTCTGACTTGGCTGCTGATGGCTGAGGATGATCTACAGGGTCAGGACGACGTCTCGGACGATGTGGAAGAAGTGAAAGAGCAGTTTCACACACATGAGGTAAGAAGACACAACAGTGCTGTTATTTTCTTTTTGGAATTCATTTGTCAGTTCTGAAACAGTAAAAAAACAAAAATGGATTGGACTGAGACGTCACATTCAGGAGCATCAATTTTACAATAACTGGTGACACATTTAGGCTGTCGCTCTCCAGAGAGACTGAGAAAAGTATCCCACAGCCAGAGGCCTCCCACAAACAGCAGTGCATGCCTTTAACATGTTGAGAATGGCAGGAATTCCATGGCTAACAGTGACACACTGCACTCTATGGTGCCCTGGCCCACAGCTTACTTCCTTGCTCGACAAGGCTTAGTTACATCGTCTCTCTCGGTGCATGTGTGTAAAGGGGCTTTGGCTGGATTCCCTCGGCTGAACTGTGAATATTTGTGAAGTTGAATGCCTGGAATCCAGGTCAAAGCTGAAATCTGCTATGGAGACAGAAAGCAACAGGATTGAAAGCTGCGTTAGCAGCCAGGCTTTTCAGAAAGTCTACAAAAATCAATCCAGTTTGTTTCGGCCTTGTTTCCCTGACTTACTCCAGTTTCGCCAGTAAAGCTTAGTCAAAAAACAGAGGCGCAGTTGAAAATGCTTACTCATCCAGAGAGCTCCCTGTAATGGACAGCAACTCAGTTCACTGGCTTCTCCACAGCTACAATGAAATAAAAACAACCAAACATTAGCTTTTGCATTTCTTCTTCAAACCTTTTACGCTTCTTTTTGTTTTGGATGGCTTTGGTTTGCTAGTTGACAGCCCACCCCTCGATTTGTGCTCACGCTTTGTGTTGTTGCTACAGCAGCACTTAAATATGAGGGTGCTACGGTACTGCTCAGTGCTTCTGCAGGGCATTATTAACATTAAACCTAATGACAGAAGCGCATCCAGATGTTAGCATGTGTCTGCCAAGTGCTAACAAACAGGCTCAGATTATAAAGGCCTTATTATGAGTGCTGCGTGTTCATGTTCCCAGGATGCAAACTGTTTCATAGACAGAGATTTTTCTGTTTATTGTTTAAAATTGTAACCACTTACTACTCTTTCCTTTCAAGACATTTATGATGAAACTGACAGCGCGTCAGAGCAGTGTGGGTTATGTGCTGCAAGCGGGTAACCAACTGATTGCTCAAGGCAACCTAACAGATGAGGAAGAAGATGAAATCCAGGAACAGATGACCCTCCTCAATGCCCGCTGGGAGGCTCTTAGAGTGGAAAGCATGGACCGTCAGGCCAGGTAAACAGAGACGTACCTGAATTGGTCTTCTGGAGTAGTTTAAATGTCCCTTACTGATTCATCTCAGAAACAGGTAAAGGACATTTCTATTTCAGGACAAATATGACTATAAACCTGAACATTTTATGGTCTAGTGTGCAGTGTTATCAAGCCATCAGTTTGTGCTGTAAAGAATGGACAGGGGTGCAAGTTGCCAGACATGACACATGCTGAGCGTTGAGCCACCCAAGGTCTTACGATTTGCACTCTCAGCTTGTGTCATCAAGGTTTACGACACACACACACAAACTGCACACAAGTTGTGTTCATGATGTACGCTACATTTGTTGACCCTGAGCTTTTTTTAGCCACAGCGTTTGTCTTCCTGTGTTGTTGCAGTTAAATCTTAGTCCTAAAGTTTATGAAATTTATGGCTTACATATCCTTTCTACCTTTATGTGCTCACTTTACTGCCCTTCTGCCTTCGCTTTCTTTCTCTCCAGGCTCCATGAAGTCCTGATGGATCTTCAGCAGCAGCAGCTGCAGCAGCTTTCTGACTGGCTGACACAGACAGAGGAGCGAATCAGGAGGATAGAGACACAGCCAGCAGCAAAGGACATGGAGGCCTATAAAGAACAGATAGAGCAACACAAAGTGAGTCAGTTTACTGTTAAAACTTAATATTAAAACACTTTTGCATGGGTAAATGCTTCATTGTTGACAGTGTCAAGTAAAATGCCAAAAAAGTGCCAGTGCATGCATGCAGCTCTTGCTCTAAAACAGGCTGGTCTTGTGATCACTCCTTCCCGTTTGATTGTAATCTTTCATGAGTCACGATAAGGCTGAGTAGCTTCTCTGCTTGCTTAGTTAATTGCAACATATGACTGAATTCGTTGTTTGTGTTCCTGCACAGGAACTCCAGAATGACTTGGAGGCGGAGCAAGTAAAGGTCAATTCTTTAACACACATGGTGGTTGTGGTGGATGAGAATAGCGGTGAGAGTGCCACTGCTGCCCTGGAGGAGCAATTACAAGTAAGTTTTCAGGCTTTGAAGCTGATTGACCAGCAATTTATCATTTATCAAATAGTTTTCTTCCATTATGTTCAGAACATACGAATTTGTGTTCAGTATCTTTTAATTGCTTCCTTATGTGGATGCACTTGAGTATAAAATGATTTGTCATTAATGAGCTACTGCTTTCATTCATTTTTTTGTTCATCTTGAATTCAGTCTTTGGGTGAACGTTGGGGAGCCGTGTGCCGCTGGACTGAGGAAAGGTGGCACAAGTTGCAGGAAGTCTTTATGGTTTGGCAACAGCTTCTATCAGACCAGGTAACATATTTATGTCCTTATGCAGTACATTCATAGCTTGCACAGGTTTTTCTTCCCTCCTGTTTAAATGCACATTTATAACAAACTACTTCAGGAGAGAAAAATTAAACTGTATTGAGATGATTTAAAAAATGAATCACTTGTGTCTCCACTTGGGATGAAAAGCATCAGACTTTTTAAAATAAAAACGGATTAACCCAGGCACGAGTCTCTGTGTGTAATTACAATACATTTTTTACTTCTCTGCAGAGCTTGTTTAGTATATGGTTGGTTGAAAAAGAGGAGGCCTTGAATGAAGTAAAGACGAGCAACTTTAAAGACTCCGGTGAAATCAATATGAACGTGCGCCAGTTAGCTGTAAGTATTACGCCTGTTTGTTTTGGTTGTTAGCATTTACTCTGGAAAAATATGTTGCAAATTTGAATTTCTGGCGTTGTAAATGTCAGTACAGCTTTCACTGTAATGAATGACCTTTCCATCTTTATGTATTTACTTAATTTTTTTGTCTTCCGCTCTTATAGATTTTAAAGGAAGACATGGAAAAGAAAAGGAGGGCTCTGGACAAGCTGTCTGATGCAGGACAGGATGTGATTCAGCTGCTGCGAAGTCCTGAGGCAGGAGCAAAGATCGAGGCAGACACAGAGGAGCTGACACAGCGATGGGACAGCTTGGTGCAGAAGTTAGAAGACTGCTCGTTTCAGGTGTGTGACTCTATCTCAGGTGGTAAAACATGATTCTCACATGGTTAATGCTTCAAATGTATGAGCATTTACTGTTTCACCATTTTTGCAAGGGAGTCATCATATATAATATGCGTTAATGTGCTAATGATGGACCTCTTGATTGAAGTAAAACTCATGCTTGTTGTCTGTGTAGGTTCTCAGTCATCAAGGTCATGGTCTCAAGTGCAGTTGCCTTCATTTGCGTTAGTTTGAAACTTTACAAATGAGGTTAAGCCACAACAGAGTCTAAGATTAGATTAAAACATGGTTAAAAATAAAAATGAAAGCAGTGTCTTTCAAAACTGTCCACACTGCCCAACTGCTTGGCATTGCAAGCATCTTTATTTTTAAAAAATGCTTTGTATACACTACCAGTCAAAGGTTTGTTCCTACCTTCTCATTGAATGTTTTTTCTTTATTTTCTTGACTATTTACATTGTAGATTCTCACCGAAGGCATCAAAACTATGAATGAACACACGTAGAATTATCTAGTAAACAAAAAAAAGTGTGAAATAACTAAAAAACATGTTTTAGATTTTTCAAAATAGCCACCCTTTGCTTTGATTACAACTTTGCACACTCTTGGCATTTTCTCGATGAGCTTCACGAGGTCGTCATCTAAAATGGTTTTGCAACAGTCTTGAAGGAGTTCCCAGAGATGCTGAGCACTTGTTGGACCTTTTGCCTTTACTCTGTGCTCCATCTCATCCCAAACCATCTCGATTGGGTTTAAGTCAGGTGACTGTGGAGGCCATCTGGCGCAGAAATCCATCACTCTTCTTCTTGGTCAAATAGCCCTTACACAGGCTGGAGGTGTGTTTGGGGTTATTGTCCTGAAACCGGATGGGATGGCATATTGCTGCAGGATGCTCTGGTATCCATGCTGGTTCGTTTCGCTGCTTCAGTTTTGAATCAATCCCTGACAATGTTACCTGCAAAGCACTCCCCACCCCATCCTCCATGCATGTAGAGACCGTCTGTTTACCTTTTCTGTGTCACACAATGACACAGCGGGTGGAACTAAAGATCTCAAATTTGGACTCATCAGACCAATGTACTGATTTCCACTGGTCTAATGCCCATTCCTTGTGTTTTTTTGGAACAAATACATCTCTTCTGCTTGTTGCTATCCTTAGTTCTGTCTTCTTAGCAGCTATTTGACCATAAAGGCCTGATTGGCACAGTCTCCTCTAAACAGTTGATGTAGAGATTTGTCTTCTACTTGGAACTGTGTGGCATTTATCTGGGCTCTAATCTGAGGTGCTGTTAACTTGCGATTTCTGAGGCTGGTGACTCGGATGAAGTTAGGCAATGAAAACCAAGTGAAGTAAAAACCATTTCAGGTGACTGCAACATGAAGCTGAGTGAGAGAAAGCCAAGGGTTTGCAGCGCTGTCAACAAAGCAAAGGGTGGCTGCTTTCAGGAATCTAAACTATAAGACATATTTAGTCTTTTTCATCTTTTTTTCTCTTTGCTACATTATTCCTTATATTTTGCTTCATATATTTGACATCTTCATTATGTATCTACAATGTAGAAAGTAGTAAATATAAAGAAAAAACATAAATGAGAAGGTTTGTCCAAACTTTTGACTGGTAGTGTACTTTTATTTCTTTTTCTTAGCTTGGATTGATTTATCTTCCTTTCTTTTTCACTAATACTTTAACTCACTCCTCACAGCTAATGGAAGCTGTGACGGATGCTGGGATGACTCAGGTGGAAGAACAGGTCGTTGTGGATACAGTTGCCGTGGATTCGGTCACTTCAATTGACGATCAGGACCTGGCCCCACCTGCTCCCCCAAAGAAACGTCTGATGGAGACGGATGCAGAAGTCATAAGAATGTAAGAATGGGGCCATAAACAGACAGAATAAATCTCTCTACCCTACCCCACACACACACA